TTCTTGCCTTCTTTTGCCCTTGCTGGATTGCTTGACCAGGCTTGCTTGCCTTTCCATGGGCCTTTCGCCTGGACTCTTGACGAAAGCGGTGCCCTTCTCACCTTTCGGAGTGCCCTTAGGGCTCTTCTCGCCGGCCGAGGCGCACGCTCGCAGACTTCCCTTGTCCAAAGTCAAAGAGGCATCCGCACGGACTTCCATCATGGCTTCATAGAACAGGTTGTAGATGGCTCTCCATGCGTTTCGTTCTGCATGGAGGAGAGTCTTTTCCGACGGGGCTCCCGCACAGTACCTCTGTCACTTCGACTTGACGGGACTCCGAGTTTCAGTTACCCCGAGTGACATAGACATGCTTCCAGATGGACATGCGGCAATTAGTTGTGATCAAGCTGTACCATAACTCGCAAGAGGCGGAATACGAGACTGTAGGGTGTGGTTTAAGCAAGTTGCAGGAGCAAATTGCACATCATCGTGACTGGAACGCCGACAGAGCTGCCAAACTTTCCACTTAGAGTGACTTGTCTCCCTTTTTGAAACAATGTGAACGCACGGTGCATCATGTCAAAAGGTCAGTCGACGTGACTGGAAGACTGTGCGGGATTCAAAAAAGGAACACATTGGTGTGAGGGGCGCTTTTCCTGCCAAGTCCCTCCCATCTCCAGGCCTGAAAACCTCCGTCCAGGGCTTCCCTACCTGCCACATTTTCGACGAGCTTTACGAGCCCAGCCCGGGAAACAACAAAAAACGAAGCACGTCAGAGTACTCCCACAGTTGCAGTGGCAAACAACGGTGCTTAAGCAGCACAAGCCCAATCACCAGGGTAGCAACGGAGTTGCTCGAAAACAAGCTTGTAGCTGTGTGAGGTCTGTGCGCAGTCAGCTTGAAACTGTTGACCATGATGTCATGACAACTACTTGTCATAATGCCACAGCATAAGAAGCAAGGTGGAAACTGACTCCGCTTCCCTCAAATTCAATAAGCATTGCGACTTTTAGATTTTGGGTGCACGATTGTGACGGAACAAAACACAGGTTGTCCGTTGTCTGGCAAAACTTTGTTGCCCGGAGCAGTTGCTGGGACTCCGTAGTTTGGGCTGAACGGCTAACACCGGCAAAACCTGTGCGCCGCAGCTCTTTGTAGAGCTTCGCTTTGCTGGTTCACCGCTTTGTTGTAGTTTGATGCTGTTGGTTTGTTACGTTTGCAGGTTCTGGAGCACTGCAGCGAAGAGTGTTGCGCTGCGTCATGGAATCCAGTGTAAAGGGTCGTAGAGTCACGGAGTCAAAAGCAGGTGGAGTCACATACAGTCAAGTGTCGTACAAGTCATAGTTCATAGAGTCATCGAGGCATAGAGTCGAGTACATGTCAAGCACAAGTCATAGTTCAAAAACTCATAGAGTCATATAGAGTCATAGAGTCACAGTGAGACAGAATCATAGAGTCATAGTGTTATAGAGTCATAGCGTCAGAGTGAGAAAGAGTCATAGAGTCATGGAGTCATCTATATGTACCACGCACTTGATTCGATGTAGTTCACTCTATGAACACTAATGTTCAGGTTTAGCGGGTTTAGGGTACAGTCCAACATGACGCAGAAGTTTTCCTTTCCTAGCTCCGGAACCTCACTATATCGACATCCCTGATTACTGTGGTTTCAACGTGACTCTATGACTCTATGCATGGTCACTTTATGTCGCAGCAGTAGTAGTTGCAGTAGTAGAATATATCTATCTATCTATCTATCCATCTATCTATCTATAGACATATATATATATATATATAGATATATAGATATATAGATATATAGATATATAGATATATAGATATATAGATATATAGATATATAGATATATAGATAGATAGATAGAGACATATACATATATATATATATATCCAGATATGCATCTGCCAATCCCTCTGAAGGGTTGCCAATTGCACCTCGCAAAGATGCAAGTTCCTGCAATCGACCACGCCACTCCCTGTGGAGAGCTGCACGGCGGGAAGGTTACAAGTAGTAACTTGCCCACACGTTTCAACCCTGGACCACACCAATCCATGCAGAGGGTTACACGCAGCGCCTAGAACATGCAACAGTACCTGTTGCACACCTACACCTACCGATTGGAACACTCGAGGAAGCCAATCCCTCTCAAGGATTGCGCGGGGCACCTAAAATGTGCAACTTTACCTCGCGTTCGAACACTCGACAACGCCAATCTCTGTGAAGGGTTGCAAGTTTCACCTCAATGCACATCAAAAGTAATAACTTTGCTTCGCGTTCCTGCGTTCGACCAAGCCAATCCCTGTGAAGGGTTGCGCGGGCACCGCAAAATGTGTAACTTTACCTCGCGATCGAACGCCAATCTCTGTGAAGGTTTGCAAGTTTCACCTCAATGCACATCAAAAGTAATAACTTTTCCTCGCGTTCGTGCGTTCGACCACGCCAATCCCTGTGAAGGGTTGCAAAATTCATGTCAATGCACATAAAAAAATGCAACTTTACCTCGCGTTCGTGCGTTCGACCACGCCAATCGCTGTGAAGGGTTGCAAAATTCATTTCAATGCACATAACAAAAATGCAACTTTACCTAGCGTTCGTGCATTCGACCATGCCAATCCTTGTGAAGGGTTGCAAAATGCCAATCCCTGTGAAGGGTTGCAAAATGCACATCAATGCACCCAAACCCTGTGAAGGGTTGCGCGGCGCCCGCACAATGTGTAACTTTACCTAGCGTTTGAATGCCCGAGGAATCGAATCCCTGTGACTTAAGGGTTGCGCGGCACCCGCAGCGTTTGGGCGCTCGAGGTGGCCAATCCCTGTGAAAGGTTGCGCCGCGCGCTTAAAATGTGTCACTTTACCCCGCGTTTGGGCGCTCGAGGTGGCCAATCCCTGGGAAGGGTTACGCGGGAACCCTAAAATGTGTAACTTTACCTAGCGTTTGGGCGCTCGAGGTGGCCAATCCTTGGGAAGGGTTGCGCGGGAACCCTAAAATGTGTAACTTTAGCCCGCGTTTGGGCGCTCGAGGTGACCAATCCCTGGGAAGGGTTGCGCGGGAACCTCAAAATGTGTAAGTTTACCTAGCGTTTGGGCGCTCGAGGTGGCCAATCCCTGTGAAGGGTTGCATTCCCGATGGACGATGACGATGCCACCCCTGGCTTTAGAAGAGAGATTAGAAACCGAGATGTTAGAGTCAAGTAAGTAAGTAAGTAAGTATAGAGTCAAGTAAGTTAGAGTCAAGTAGGTAAGTAAGTAAGTAAGTATACAGTCAAGTAAGTATAGAGTTCAAGTTCAAAGTTCATAAGTAAAAGCTCATAAGTAAGTAAGTAAGTAAATAAGTATAGAGTCAAGTACGTAAATATAAGTAAATATAGAGTGCAAGTTCATAGCATAGAGTCAAGTATCAAGTGTAGACTCAAGTAAAGTATAGAGTCAAGTAAGTAAGTCAAGTAAAGTATAAAGTCAAATAAGTAAGTAAGTAAGTAAGTAAGTATTTCAGGTATAGCATCATAGAGTCAAGTATCAAGTGTAGAATCACGTAAGGTATAGCGTCAAGTAAGTCGATTCTATGTCTGTCATCTATGTACTCATCTACCCGGCTCCGCACGGAAGAACCCTTCGCGATGCTTTCGGGAAAAATCCGTTTGCGAGGGCTGTTATCAGCATTTCTCACTCTTGAATAGAAAAGTACTGTGCTACCGCTTTGTTTTTGCCGCATTGGAAAAACATTTGAATACGAGACAACTACACTAATAAACAAATTCATCCAAGTTACACAAGGATAAGGAACCTTCGGTTCAGTGAATCTTAAAAATACAAAAAAATTGCTCAGGCGTGATAAAAACAGCGAACTTGGGCGCAAGAGAGTGTTTTTTCGGTGAGTTTTGCACCATTCAAGACTAGAGGCAGACAGTAACGAAAAACGGTATTGGCAAAATGTTTGATTTCGTGTCTCAAGCAGGGGTTGTGCTCTCGGTAGTGGGAGGTCTGGTTTACCATCTGAACTACATGTATTTCGCATGTGAGGATGAGGTTTCGGTACGGGGCATATGTGTTCGTCCTGTTCTGGACGATACACAAAGTATGATGGCGCTTGTGAGATGGTGGTGTTGCACAGGTTTTGTTGTTTTGGCAAGATTTGACAAGGTTATGAATGCATGGGGACGGTTCATTTTTCGGACTTCCGCACATATTTGCCGTGAGGCAAGCGGAGATCAGACGCACAGGTGCACTTGTTGTCCCGTAATTTGCAATTGTTTGTTTTCATGCTTGATGCTTCCCACAGCGACTCTCAGAAGTGACATACTGGCACGAGTCACACACTCGTTGTGCCGGAATTTGCAATTGTTTGTTTTCGTGTTGATGCTTCCCACAGCGACTCTCAGAAGTGACACTCTGGCACGAGTCATGCACTCGTTGTCCCGTAATTTGCAATTGTTTGTTTTCGTGCTTGATGCTTCCCACAGCGACTCTCAGAAGTGACGCTCTGGCACGAGTCACACACTCGTTGTCCCGGAATTTGCAATTGTTTGTTTTCGTGCTTGATGCTTCCCACAGCGACTCTCAGAAGTGACATACTGGCACGAGTCACACACTCGTTGTGCCGGAATTTGCAATTGTTTGTTTTCGTGTTGATGCTTCCCACAGCGACTCTCAGAAGTGACACTCTGGCACGAGTCATGCACTCGTTGTCCCGTAATTTGCAATTGTTTGTTTTCGTGCTTGATGCTTCCCACAGCGACTCTCAGAAGTGACGCTCTGGCACGAGTCACACACTCGTTGTCCCGGAATTTGCAATTGTTTGTTTTCGTGCTTGATGCTTCCCACAGCGACTCTCAGAAGTGACATACTGGCACGAGTCACAGATTTAAGTTGGGCGGGCTTTGGCTTGGCGCCCAAAAGCTAGTTGCCAGCCTCGCGAGTCCGAGCCTCAAGCGGCTTGGGCAGGATCTGCCAGTTGATGTGTATGAGAGCAGAGAAAGATTGACAAGGCAATCGGCAACAAGAAATGTCAAAATGGGAGGCCGCGCCAAGACTCATCGACATCGTGTGATTATGATTAGCGCTTGCCAGCTGTGTCAGGTTGTGGGAGGTGCCGATAAAGGAGGCATCTTAGTGCGAAAGGGCCAAGACTTGAAGTCGGAGCAGTTGGCGGACCGCCACTCGGCAATTGAGGGTTGCAGTGCCCAGTGATCCCCGTCCTTAGTTGGGTCGTTTCGGTGTTCCGAACAAGCACGTTCCGAAATGGCAAGTGGCCAGCTAAGGACTTTCCACTGGCGCCTTGGTCTTCCTCTTTTGTTTACACATGCTGCAGTGGTTGGGCATCGCAAGTTGCTTCGACGGTTGCGCCGGTCCTGCTTGGCGACTCCTGTCATGCTTGCCGTGCTTCTCTGCAGCTTTCTTCAGTATGGAACGCAAGCAGAGTTTGCATATTGGGCACACGTGCCCAGGTTCACTGGGCTCAATAGTCAATCCATGCCGTAGGACCATGGGCTGCAAAGCAGACGTTTCCGGCATCATTAAAGCAGAGTGCTGTTCATACTCTTCTGCAGAATCGTCTTCGCATTCCAAATACAATGACCACAATGTAGGCACATGTTGTGCTGGCCATTCGAGCCGAAGTGCCTGAAATGATAGCGGCACAGCTGCATCCGTGACGGCAGCGGTTACAATCCAGCTGCAATTCTGCATCTTGTGTCGCAGAGGTTTGATCTCTGCGTATTGCCGAGCGCAGAAGCCATGAAGAAGTTGGGAACGCCGAAGGCTGTGCGCAACTTCTTCGCCGGCCCCCCAAAGTGTGGCGTTGTGGAGCTCTGCCTTGGAAGTCTCTGGATCTTCGTGAAACTGAGGATGGAGGCAATCGCAGAGGGGAAATTGGTGAGTTCAAGGAGGAGTAGCAAACCTGCCGGCTGAAGCAGCATTTGATGTGACGGGATGCATCAAGAGGAGCTTAACCACAACAACAAAGATCGAAAGAAGGAGGCCCTGAAGAAGGCCCCGCTTCTGTTTTCCCAGCACGACATGAACCTGGCAGAAGGTGCAGCTTTGAATACCAAACTCCCAGGTCATTCAAGCAATGACCTTGGGCAACGACGTCTCGTCGCTTTTTCCAGATGTTGTCAAATGCATGCAGACCAACAGCTTGGACCTCAAGCACCTTGGTGAAAATGGACCAGCGCTTTGCTTTGTAAGGAGCAGAGTTTTGCCTTGCTTTCGATCTGAGGAAATTGGTCTACCTGTATGTGATCAACTATGCCAAGGCATGGATGCACTTGTAACACTCGATGCGATGCTTTGCTTCACTTGGACCAGGCGCAGCCAGACTTGGCAATCCTCGCCATCAATGCTTTCCGCACGGACTGACCGGGCCTTTTTCCAAACTTTCAGGCAGCTTTTCTAACACCCAGAGTATCCGGTAGAGTAGCCTCACTCATGCGCTGCTGGGTCCTGTAGAAGACTTGTGCGGCATCCTCACGACGGCTGTGTGCCTCGGCGATTCTGTGCGTCTGTTGGGTTTGCAGGATGCGAACGACCCGAACAATCCTCTTCTGCGTGCTCTGGCGGTAGCTGCCTTGGCTTCTTCGGGAATCGGGTCTTAGCAAGGTCTGTGTGAATGGAGGCCCAATGTCCCGGTAGGGACATCCGCAGCCCCCCCATTCATTCGAGACCGGTCGAGGTGAGGACCATGGGCTGCATCCGCCTGGAGAAGATGACAGAGTACCTGATCGATCCCCTGCGGAGGCGAGCCTTACACTTGATCATCGACAGAAGATGTTAGAGCCTATAGGCCTAGTCCTAGATTCTATGCCAGGAGTTGCAGAGACATGGACGCTTGGGTTCGCAAAACTGCGACCATTTGTATTGCCAAGCTCTACGACATCAACCCAGAGCTGGTGGAAGATCAAGCTCCGAACCCAGCGTCTCGTTGAGGTTTTCAGTGATCTCTGCCTCTGCCCAGGGCTTTCTGGACATCTTGAGGGACATGCTCGGAGATTCGAATCCGCCTGCGTCCCAGTGTCCGAGAGGCAGCTCACAGCAGAAATCTGCCAGCGTTCTAAGGATGGTCGTTGCCAATGCAGTGGCCTCCCTTGGTGAAATCTCCACGTCTGCGCGCAAGAACTATCTGAAGCTCGACGAGGATCGATGCTCCCCACTGGATCCCTAAACTCAAAGCCCTGAACCCCAACCCTTAATATGAAAGGATCCCCAACTCAAAAGGATCCTAAGCTCGGCTTGAGCCGCCTCTCTGTTTCTTTGCTCCAGGAGGTGATCTCCCGGCTTCTTCCGGCCCTCAACGAGTGCTCCGCAACTTGAAAAAGTTCAGACCAGAGCTTTCTTTCCTCAGTTCTGAGGGCCCTTAGGACTCCTTTGTCATAAAGCCTGGACCTGTCGAGGAATGGGGGCAGGTCTTCATCTTGGACGCGCCTCCTCCGCGATTGCGATTGGGGATGGACTCGGAAAGGCTCCGTGAAGAAAGACTGGCAGACCTAGGGAGCTCCTGAAGACCGGGTGGACTGAGGTCAAGAAGCCCTAGAAGCGACAAGCGAAACAACCTGTTCGTTCAATCTTTCTGAGGCGTTGGCTACCTACGATCCACCGAACTCAAAGGTGGCAGAAGCCATCTTGGAAAGAGGTTCCTCTGATAACCATGCCTCGGTTTTTACAGGGTCATCGAGAAGAGATGATGTACTTGGTGCGGAGACAGGTGTCATTGCTCGACTCACTCATGGCAACAGTGCCGTCATAGGCTCAGTTCCGGTGATTTCTGGCTTGTAGCGCAAATGCCTTTACATGCGTTTCGTGACGCCGCGACAAAGGTGCTTCTGTCGGCGGCCTGCCTGCAATCATGTAGCTGCTCGCCGCTCACCACCCGTTAACAAGCTCACACTCCTGCGAGGCCGTCAAGGTGATCATGAAGTTCATGGACCGCCTGTCCAGCAACGACTTAGCTCACTCCCCAGATCCTCATTGTCCAGTAGATGCTGATGTGGCGAGGGTAGCACTTTAGCTCAGAGTGGTACGGAGGTGCGGACGCTGTGCAAGCGAATGACAGCACCGCTGGTCACCATGCTGTCCGCAGAACCAGAGATTCAGTACGTGGCCTGGCCTTGGGCTATTTTCGGAGGTTAGAGATCCTCTCAATGCCCTTTGTCGTGGTTTTTGAGGTGGTGATGCGCAACATCAACCTGATCGCACAGAAGCAACCCAACATTCTGCAGACGGATGTGCGAATGTTCGTGTGCAAATACAACGATCCGCTCTACGTAAAGTTGGAGAAGATAGCTGTGATGGTCCTGTCCCGAGCATGAGCAGACTCGGACTCCTTCGGGTCGACCTTCGCCTTGAGCATGAGCTGTCGCTATCCTCTCAGGTGCAGCTGGCCTCCGACCGGAACATTGACTCCGTCCTCTCCGAGTTTGTCGAGTATGCCTCGGAGGTGTGCCATGACCATGGTGTGCCTGTGTGAGGTCTTAGTGGTCGGACGGTAGATGCAAAAGATGGGAGGTGGACATCGAAGTCGTCCGCCAGTCGGTCCGAGCGATTGGCCAGGTGCCAGACCTGAAGAGCGGCAGAACTGAGCCATGCAGTGTCGACCATGGAAGAGTCTCATGCTTTCGGGGCAGCTTAGAGCATGAGGATACGCAGCTCGGGGCGAGTTCAGTCGCGTGCCCTGAGGCGGCAATTAAGCTGGAACGATCTGCAGAGCAATGTGTGAATTGCTTGCTGGAGCTGATCAAGACTCGGGTCTTTGCCTCGAAATCCGAAGCCGCTGCTTCAGGGGCGCCCTTGGGTGCAGACCTCTCTGTCCCGGAAGTGCTGCTGGCAGGTCAACTACGTGGTTCAGGAGGCCATCGTGGTTATCCGGGACATTTTCAGGAAGTATCCGGGCCAGTGGCTCGACGAGACATGAGTCTGGTAAGTGAGTTCAAAGTATGGAACAGAAGTCTCAGAATTCGTCAGATGAGAATGCTCTTCAGAGGGATCCCCACGGACAGTGCGACTTGAGACATCCAAGGTACGAGATGATCATCTCCGAGCTGTGCCAAAACCTGGATAGCCTGGATGAGCCCGATGCCAAGGCATCCATGATCTGGATCGTCGGGGAGTATGCCGAAAGGCTCGGAGTGCGCCCTCTCTCCGGAATCGTCCGTGACAAAGTGCCAGCCGCTAGCCTAGTCTGTAGCTTCCCTGTTAGAATCGACAACAGCGGGGATCTCCTGGAGACCTTCCTGGAAACCTTCCACGAGGACTGCTGGCATCCACGCAGCGTTTCCTTGCTCGACTCGCCCCGGTTCGACAGAGGAGCCCTCCACCGTACAGCAGCAAATCCTCACTGCGACGGTGAAGAAGTTCGTGAAGAGCCCTCAGGCGGTTCTGCAATGACCAGAAGATCATAGGAAGCCACATCCCCCTGCGGTAGTTGCATTTCTGTCAGGACTCTCGTGAGCTTGTCGGGCGTGTTCTGAAGCTGTGCACGGACGAAAGCACCAACCCTGACCTGCGAGACCGTGGATGGATGTACTGGAGGACCGCTGCCTGCAAACAAGAGCGACAACAAATCGTCTTTCCCGATCAGTCATTTCCAGACAAACGGTTTCTTTGAGGCTTCTTAGCAACAACCCACAGCTAGCGAAGCAGGCACGATCTGTTTGCACCATCCTAGTTTCATGCATGCAGGTAAGCAGACTGCTAGGATGTCTGTCGCAAGGTTGTCCTCAGTGAAAGGCCGACCATCAGCGAAAACTCCTTTGTCCGAATCTCAGTGTCGCTTTGATGAATCTTGAAAGACGCCACCGTCGGTGACCCCTGCAGGCTCTACAGCCGCGGGTGCTGGACCGCCTCATTGCGAACATCTCAACGCTGGCATCCGTCTACCACCAGGCACCTTGAGCACAAGCCTGTTCAGTTGTGCGGCGGTCAATATGACGCGCTGCGGACTGGAGCGAGGTTCCCGAGGCCTTCTGCGACAACAACCGCGGAGCTCGGCAGGTGGAAGAGAACGATGAGTTCGAGGCCTGTGGCTGTAGCAATGTCGCAAGAGGCCATGAGATTGAGAGGATTGCTGCAGTGATGCGAGGACTACTCCGAAACCATCGAGCGCGTCGAGCAAGAGATCCAGCAGACGGGAAGGACTGCACTGCAATATGCTGCAATAGAGAGGTATTGCCAGCAACGGTAATGTCCGGTCCGAATTCCTTTCGATGTGTTCTTCAACAGATGTTTCCCGGCCTAGCCGTGTCGTAGCACACAGCAAATCGAAGTCCTTCTACGTGATGATTGCATTACAGCTCCGCAGCTCATTTTTGAGCTGGGTCAATACTGACACAGCGGCCCCGACAGCGTAGATGTCTATCACGAGTCTTCCGGTTTTCTCAACTTTTGGCTCGGGTGGCCCTGGCTCGGTAGGTTGAACAAAATCAGCGGCCAGATAGCTCTACTCTGTTCGCGGGTCGCTCCACCAAAGCTTTTTCGCAGCTTCAGTAGCACTGCAGCTGGAATCGTTTTGCCCGAACCTGACATCGTGCGCCTAAGCGTGACGTTCCCTGTCTGCGGCCGTCAGGTACGAAGAGGAGTCCGGCGATGAGGCAAGCGAGGCCTTGCTGCCGCTCCGGTCAGCAGAGTCGTTTCTGTTCGCTGCCCGTGCCCTTGGAAGGACAGCAGCGCGAGCTCGAGCAGCGGGGACACCCCCGACCGCAACAAGAGAGGTGCCCCGCCGGCCGCTGCGTCAAGCGCCGGAGCTGGCGCCGCAGGCGCCGCAGGCGCCGCAGGCGCCTCCGAGCTCAGCTTGTTTGGAGGCTGAGGTTCTTTTACATTTTGCGTGTACGGAGGCCCTCCTCCGCCGCTGCGCGCTCTGGCGCAAGTGCTCTCGGAGCAGACTCCGGGAGAGGGCGGCAAGCGAGGTCTCCGAGTCGTAGGCCCAGTTGCCGGCCTCGACTCGATCTTTGTGAGGGTTTTTTGTTGGTGCAAGCGACTGCAGCCCACACGGCACACAGTGGACATGACCCACTCATGGGGATTCGGGATTGGTCAGAGGCTGTTCCAGGTTGATCCATGGTCCATGGCATATGGCGTTGTCGAAGACTCGTTAACTTGCAGAAGGATGAAGCCTTCATCCAGTAAAAGGTTCTTTGGTTGCCCATAGATGCAGGCTTCTCGCCACTCGGTGGCCTTGCCATGCCATGTGGAGATGTGGGGAACAAGCATCACGCAGATGATTGGCTTGGCACGGTCTGGGACAGATGTGCGAGGGCGTCACAAGTGCCGCCGCAGACCAGCGACGGTCTTCTTGCGATGGGCCGGGTTGAGCGTTCGAGCCTTAGGTTTCAGCGGCTTCTGCCCCCACAAGTCTCGTTGCGGAGGGCGAACATCATCACGGATCGGGCCAGCGATTGGCTCTTCGAGACTGTGCCATGGTGTCCCAGGGATGTTTTCCCGTCGGCAAGGCACTTTCAGAAGCAGATAGCAAGCATGGTCCCGCCACAGGTCTTGTTGAGGCGTGCCAACATCGTGACAGACCGAGTAAGCGACTGGCTTTTTGAGATTGCAGTGCACTCACATGGCTTCGGATTGCGGCAAACAAGACAAGTTCTGACTCATCTACGCCTCATTCCTCCACAAGTCCTCCTGAGCCGCATCAACATCGTCACCGATCGGATTAGCGACTGGCGGTTCGAGTCTCTGTCGGCAAGGCCAGACGAAGTGTTTACAGACTGGGCTCCTCCGCCCGA